CAGTGTTTTCTAAGATGACATGTAAATTAGAAGTGAGACAGTAGGGAACCAACATGGGAGACAGTTGTAATGTCAACTCAGTGATAGTTGCACTTCTTTTTGAAAGCATTACAGGTTGTGTGTATCTTGCTAAATCAGTGCAGAGTGGCAGTCATTTCTGGGGTTAAGGAAGCCAGGGCTTCTCCACACTACAGAGAATGAGGCCAACTGAGTCGACTCACATCATAAGAGGCTTTTCTCCTTCTCAGTGTGTGAAGTAGTCCGAGCTTTCAAGTTATTGGTAGTTGGGACAGTTGTTGAGTCCCTCTTTGAACCTGTATATTTGCTGGAGAAGTGACTGAGGTAGTCAGGAGATGTGCAGGTACCTAGAGAAATAAGGTAGAGTTGAGGCAAATACAGGCCAGATCATGGACCCCTACTGAGCTGAAGCCATGTGCCATGGTTGTGCAGTTTCCAAAACCAGACAAGGATCCCTCTGGTTTTGTGAATAGGCTGACATGGTATGCTGTTATGATCATACTAAGAGATGCACTATACACCCTTGATGTTTAAATGTTTAAGGGGTAGATTTGGTGAGATAGAGGAAGCTGTGACTATCACAGTTCAAGATGAGGATGCACAGAGTAGACCTGACTAGATAAAGGCGTATAAAACTCAGTTAATGTGTTGTACCCTTAGACTGGGAATAGTGGAGGGACAAGAAGCAGTATACCTCTCACTTCCATTCATCTGTATATAAAGAACATTTCTTGTTCTTGGTGAACACACCTAGTTTCAGGACCATGCTTGTGGTGACTAGATCTTCCCCTCCTCCTCCTCTTTTCTAAATCGACTGCACTGTTCCACGGCACCCTAGTCGAGTATCTGAAAGCACCAGTCAGGAAGAATGAAACCACTGTGAGGGAAAGTGTGTGGGTAGACAGGCTATAATCTTTGATATGTTAGAGAAAAGTATGTTGTTCTTCCTAGTTGAAAAGTTGCTGTTTGCTGTCCCACCAGAGAAGCTGACGATGGGACGCTGGGACCCAGAAGTTGCCGTGTTCAGCTGTGAAAAAGACGAAGACCCTGCTGTACCAGACCCTCAACAATGACGCCTCTTCACAACAAGTTGTTTATCTCTTCAGAGACATCAGGTATCCACTTCTGTCCACTTGATAAAATCTTTGTCTTTGTACTTACGATTGAGTGACTTTTTTGTTTTTGACTCTGATGCCCAACCTTAGGAAACTGAAGCTGGAGAAAACAACCTGGTGACCCAAACGGGACAACGAGGAGGCTGCTACGGACGTCCACACCAACCTCTTGGGTCCTGAGTGTTGAGGCTGACTTGATGAGATCTTGAAGGGGCTATTTCAGCTGAAGCTCGGTCAGCTTTACCCGAGTCCACCTCTGACCTGGGTGAGATGACTGCATTAACTGAACTGTAACCTTTCCTCTGGACTTAAACTTAAAAAAGTGTTTCTTTACTTTGTTTGAATTTTGGAACTTTATCACAGTCATTTTTCCATCATTAAACAGTGGAAGTACTGGGGCAGGCTTAGTGGTTTGATTAATGATTGATTCTCCATATGCATTATTTTGTAAGCCTGTCTTGATAAGTGTAGTTGTGGTGTTTCAAAATTATCACTGCCCAGATTTTAGTAACATTATTTTACTGTAGGGTTACATTTCTGAGTTGTCTCGCTCTGCCAAGTTTCAAGGGGGAGACTCACACTTCAGGTAGGCCTGGGGAGGGAAAGCTTTGCGTTTCGTGTGCTTATTAGATCTTCTGTATGTGGGAGGCCTCCCAGCAGGGGAATATATCTCATCCCTGTAACATATTATCGCTGATGTGGGGATACGTTTAGCAGTTTCTTGGGTAGATGGTCTTGTTAGAGCTCTGTTGCGTGGTAGCTGTGATACCAACCGGGAGTCTGTTATAGGTTCTTGGGAGGGAGGAAGCCTGGCAGAGACAGACGGTTCAGGCTCTAAATAAGCTCTGAGACACTCAAAGTGAGTGTAGTTGCCTTGTTTTCCATGAGGCGATTATGAAAACTCTCCACTCACCCCAAGCGGTCGAGGCAGAAGGCCGCCCACCTTGAGTCGAGGTCTGTCGGAGGTTTCTTCCTCTAAAGGGAGTTTTTCCTCTCTACTGTTGCCAAGTGCTTGCTCAAGGGGGATTTGTTGGAGTTTTCGCTATACTGATGCTGAGATGACTTGTTGTGATTTGGCGCTATACAAATGAATTGAATTGTACGGTCAAGTGTACAGGTTGACACCATGTAGAATTATTTTTTTGTTGCCTGTGCAGAGGCATAGAAACGTAAACTGTCGAAGCATCAGGTATTTCTTAAGCACACTTTGTGTAAGATCTTAATTCATAAAAATTGTAACCGAAATAAATGTATAGTGAAAACTACATGAAGCGAAAGCATGTTTCTGCAGACTGTTTATTGATGGACGGGATCGATGCTGAGGTCAGTGTTTCAGATTCTGGAGTCATAAGTTGTTGTTCGGGGTTCTTTTCAGCACGAAGTACAGTGCACGTTGTTTTGCTTTATAAGCTTGTCTTTTTCTGATAAGTGACCAAACTCCCTTCAAAAATCCAGCAAGTTAACTTTGCTTTTATAAGGACAAACATAACATTCAATATACTGTGTAACTCAAGCTGCGCTAACTTAAATGTAACGTCTTCGGGTTAAGTTGTAGCAGTAATACATAAGTTGGATTTACTGCAGTAAACATCTATAAGTTTAGGCTGCTACTAGCTGTCATTCTACTTTGGCCATGTGTAAGATTGACCTGTATACAAAGTCCCCAAACTCCTTCAAAAATCTGGTAGTGTATGTCTTTGTTAAAAAAAAAACATGCATCATGAGACAAATTTCTTGAATGTTAACTTGGTAATTTTGCCTTGAGTAGAAAGACCTTGTTATTAAATATAATCTTTAACATTGGGTACCTATTGCTTTGTCAGCTGTTTAAGATTTCTTTATAGCCATCATAGACTGATATGTAAATCTTACCTTAATGTTAAAAAAAAAAACAAAAAAAAAAACATGGAGCTACCAGTGTGCAGAGCTTCTGATAGTACCCCCAGGGAGTCATCAATCTTAATAACATGACTCTTGGAGCTTTAAAGTGACCATAAGTTTTCAGTCTCCAGGCATTACAGCTGATGCTATTACAAGTTCTTAAACCAAAAACAATGCAAAATGCTAAAGGCAACAGTTAAAAAGGGAGCACGATGTCATCTTTGATCACACATTAAATACAGTCAAAAGAACAGCAAAAAGACAATTGGTAAATTGAAGATAAGGTCTCCAGTTTTTGGTGAATGCTTCCATCTAATCTTTTGTGTGATTAAAAACAATAGTGGTCATAATATAGTAAGCTATGTTTATTTTTACTGAGGTTTTGTTTTTGTCAATGCATCTTTGGTGCCATCTGTCAAATGCTATTTTCGTGAATTTTCTAATAACATGAGCAGCCAGATGAAGTAGAGATTTGGGCTATGCGAGATTAGAAAAAAGCTTGTGTGCATTACCGATACATAAAGCCAGATACCAGACTGAAACATGGTACCCATTCTGTGCCATTAAAGTTGCCACGTGGTGCATTTATCCAGGTCCTTGGCGCCGGAAACCCAGAAAAGCTTTGTTTTTATATATATTCTACATATACATACAAATACATGTGTATTATAGCCAGAATATACGTTCACTTTGCTATAACAGATTACGGTATGTGATTTATGTCACAGTCACAAATAAAGGAGCTTCAAGGATGTATGTATTAATTTAACTATATCTGACATGCAGAAACTACCAACCACACAAAAGTATAGGCAAAACCGGTGTTAGAGCAATACAGTTAAATGTTAAAAAAAAAAAAAGATGCCATGTTCAATAGTTTTTCATAAAGTAACAGCTGATGAATTAAGCTCCTTGTTAACTTGTGTAATAAACCACAAAGTGGAGAGCAATATGTTTATTTGTCAGACTATTGCTGTTACATGCAGAAATGTCTGACTCCCTAATGCTAGTGTGACTTTTTTTTCAGGGAGTACATGGCTATCAACTAGTTGCTTCAGCTCTACAGTTAATTACTAGCAGAGCTCCACCCAGCTTCCACCCAATCAGGTTACATTTCATCTTGTGAACAACAAAGTGTTAACATCTGTGTTTATGAAGCTCAAAATGTTTATTTTTTTGGTGAAATTGACTTAAATCAATAAATCCAATGATATGTTTATTACTGAGGTCATAGTTACAGGTGGTGTACTGGACTAGATTGCATTCAGAGGTGCAACGCAAAAAGCAGATTGATGACCTTTATGTGAAGATATTTCATAAAACGAAGGAACTGTGGCAATTTACAAATAGCCCTCACTTTTGCTTCGAGGAGATTTTCTGAATCTTTTTTTTTACAATGGGAGTCTATGGGAGAGTGAGGCATCACTCCCTCTGGAATTTGCCATTCAAAAACCGTCCATCCGATTCTTAAATTTTCACTACCGTTTTCATGTATAATTTGTGTGTGGAATGTAAAACAAGCTGACAAATTGTATAAAGGCTGTAGGACAGAGCTAGAGTGTGAGTGATGTCACCCATTCTAGCTCTCCCATTCAAATGAATGGAGAGGCTGAGAAATGTCCAAAATCAAAGACCGTAAAAGATATCATAAAGCTGACAAGATGAATAGCTGAAGATTTGCTGAATTGTTTAAAGGTTGAATGGTTTTCCTAGTTGAAAGTATGCTGAAGCTACAGTATAAAGGCTGAAAGAGGAGGAAGATTTGAAGATTCTCCCATTCATTTGAATGGGAAAAGCAGGAATGTCCTTAAAGCTTAACATTTTCATATTTGACTGTTTTTTTGCCGAAAGTATGCTGGAGTTAAGTGGAGTTAAGAATTCAGAATAATAAAGAATTGGATAACAATAGTCTGGTTGCTGACTTAGCATCCATGCAATGAAATCAGAGTATCCCTGCCATTATCCATCTTTACCTTGCATTCTTACCAGATGGTTACTTGCAGTCCTGCAAATGACTGTGTAGCTGTCTGGATCTTGACTAGAAGGGAAGGACTGAAACAAAACTTCAACCTCAACAGGGTTTGGCTGTTGTTCACAGGTCAGCAAGACCACCTGCGGAAAAGGAAAATAAAGACATGAAAGTTGCCTGTCAACCAAAAATGATCGTTAGTACAAAGTGTCAAATTCTAATGCACTATGTATAGGCTATTGAATGGTGTTACAATGCACTTGAGAAGATGAGCAAGCATGAAATACATTACCTGACATAAACTAGCAAGTAGCCACAGACGCTCTGTTCCAGCCATTGAAAGTGTCATTCCATTTCATGTCACTTTTCTTCAGTCGGTGATCCACCTGGATACATACAATCACTTTCACAGCGATAAACAACGAATCCTGGCTGTGCTGTCAGCTGCTGGTAGGCTTATAGTGTAATTAAACTCAAGACAGCTGTGCGCAAACAACGGTTGTGGAAAGCCCCGAGCTATTTGGGTCGCAGACGCACAACTGAGCATCAAAAAATTAATAGTTTGTAACTTCCCGAATGTCTTGTTGCGACTTCGAAAGTTTTTGAAAGCAAATGACACCTACCTATCCATCTTAAACCATGGGTAAATCCCTACTTTTATTTACTCCATTTTTACACAGAGCACGGACTTTGAATTTAGCGCTCACTCAGTCAGTGAACAATGGCTGTAGCCACAGAGGAGCAAGTCCTTATGTGAAGAAGAAGGCAGTCTTCTTGTGTGTATAGGAGGAGAGAGAGAGGGATGAGTTAAACTCAATTTGCTCTGGTTTTTTGTTGGGATAAGAGCAGTTCACCATGGCAACCACAGCCACAGGGCCACTCCAGAGAGGAGAGGAGAGGTGGGGAGGCTGGAGATGTCAGGCATACTGAGGACAAAAGTGGAGGGATAAGAAATGTGATGGGGTTTATGGGGAACTGAGATGTGCTTAGGGGGTAAAGACATAAGCTTTACACTTCTGCATCAATCAGCTGCTCAGTCACAGCAGACAGGTCTTGTATTTTGTTTTCATGAGTTCATATAACTTCTAAAATAACCATGTGCTCCAAATTGTTCGTGCCATTTCAGTGGTGAGAATGGTTTGGCTTGGAGGCGGGGTGTAGTGGGAGCAGTGGCCCTTGTGGAATGACAAGAATGTCAAAGGAAGAAATGACTGACAAACAGAGCCACCGAGGAGCTGTTTCTGCTATGAACTCCTCCGTGGAGGAGACTCCCACACAGCAATAACCTCTCAGAGGTGAAACACAAACACATGTCAGCAATACGGATGCTGAATCAGGATGAGTATAATAAGAGTTTGGCAAAGAGAAACTGGAAGGATGCGGACACAGCCGGTCTTGCAATAATTTAGACACACAAATCTTTCATTCACTTACTTTACTTTAAAATAAAGAAACTAAAATGAGGACAAAGATCACAACTTTTCTAAAGAAGCAAAACACCTCATAACATTATCTTTTGTACAAAGGCTACCTTAGACAAACCAAAACGCATATACAACAGCAGATATAAAAAAAATGCAGCAACTGCTGTGTCGACATGGTATCAACTGTTAATATACAGCAGGATATGAGGCTGACAGTGTACAATCACTAGAAAGCTGACTGAGTTGGCGCAGCAGTTCATAAAAAACAAAGACTAAGGTGCAGGCAAAACTAGTTTAAAACAATCCCCCTCTTACCTCAGTTGTTTTTGATATCTTTGAATTACAACAATTTGTCATGGTTGGTGTTGCAAAGTGGACAGTACAAAGAAAATGAAACATGGCTGGTTTTCATACTTGTTCATCAGTACTGTAAATATCTGACTTCCCCCACACAATCTACTCTATGTCCTCATCCAGACATTCCCTTCTTCTGATATGTTCTTGTTCATGTTGTTTGTCTGGAGCTTCTCTTTAGCTCCACTGGCAGGAACAATCTAGAGGTTCTTGGAAGTTGTACTCCACGACTGTAGCATTGCGAGAGCAGTAGAGTGTGACGGAACGGGTTTGTAGTCCACTCTCACGGCAGCACTTACAGAACCTGGCATGACTGTTGATGTTAAAGTTGAATATGGTGGCAGATGGGCATTTCCCATCGCAAGAATATACTGTAACCTGTAAGAAGAGAGAGAGAGAATGAAGACAGGATGGGGGGGAACTGTTGTGTTTTAATATTTTTAAAGTGTAGTTTTAGTCAATTCAGCCTCCTCTTTTCAGGCTTGCAGTTCTCTTTTCTCTCTCACCGGTGCATTGCTCCTGCAGTCCTCTTTTCTGATGGTAGTCCGAATGGCCACACGTTTGCATGTCTTACCATCCTCTTTACCTACACACATGTTCATACAGAATTAAGATGGAAACACAGCGTAACACTTATAAATATCTGCAGACACCCTGAGAGCAACAGCACATCACAAAAACGCCATATGGCAGCTTGTAACAGAACAGAATTCATGCAAATGCCACTTTAAACATACACAAAGAAACACACACAAATGCTTTTTGATCACTTTACCACAGAGACCTGTCACTCACACTCCCTAAAAGACTTTCTGAGCGGGTCTCTCTGTTGCCCAGCAGCAGAATCTTGGCTTGATTGACAGGAGGGTGATGATGGGGTATAGCTCTCACAGCAGAGATCTGGCTCTCCTACTGGCTACTGACCTAAACTTAACCGTATTTTTAAGTCAGTCAAAGGTGGTCAAAAGAATTCTGTGTAGGGCTGGAATGGTGCAGATGTTCTCCAACTTCTTAATGGATGATTGGAGATTATTTTGGCTCATGTTAACATTTTCAGTTGATTAAATATAACATTACACATTTTCTCATGAATGTTTCATACTAGAGAATAACAGAAGGTTAAATGTTTGTATTTTTGGGTATTTACCAATGAAAGGAAGAAAATGAAAACACACACAGAAACACAAAAATAGACACAGACACGCAGTCACACATAGCTTGAAAGTGCAAGTGAATGAGTCACTGGGTGTCAGGATGCCAAAGAGTCACTGTAAGTGGGAACAGTGCAAGGTGGTGGTACCTGTGTCACATTTAGTACTACCAGTGGGGGTTACAGGAATAATGGTAAATGGTAAAACACCCACTCCAGAACCTGGGAACATCATCGGGATCACAGCCGTCCGGTTCAGAGAATGTCAGGAAAACATACACAAGGTTACGCTTGGTTCAGAAAAAAAAAAACAGTTTAACATCACACATAAACACACAGAGGGCAGAATTAGTGCAGCTGGCATGCACATGGATTTCACTTTTTTTTGGGTCATTCCAGGCAGCCAGCCAAGGAACTCAGTCATTTGAAGTAGGACAAAGAGCAGCTCAGCAGGGCCCCGGCACCAGATCGCATCCTCATTGGTAAAATGCTCAAAGTGGAGCACCCAAACTGGCCAAACTCCAAGGTCACTGCTAAAGCAAGCAAGCGAGTGAGGCTGCAATGCCGAACCACGGAGAGAGAAAATATCACCACTGCATGTTTATTAAAAGTTCAATCCACACGACTTGAAAATATCTTATTAAACAAACTTTTTGTAAAGTAGACATTAAGAACAGTTCACAGATCGTCACCTCAAAAGTGCAACTTCAGGAAGTTGACTGCAATTATATTTTATCATTCTGTAGAATGTTTTTAATAATTTCTTTCCACCAAATATTCCTTATGTCCAAGCTGTGCTGGTTCTTGAATAGCTCAACAGAAGATCTGGGACAAAGCCAGGCATTGTGGGAAATGTAGTGATAGACAACAACAGGCTTTTTCTCCACCCTCTACAACAGGCCACACATAAACCAAACAGCCAAGAAGCCCATCCACTGCCAGGCAACAAGGCTCTCACCCCTTTGATTGACAGCTCAAAGCATTGCCAGAAACCACATAATAAAGTAGGAGACTCACAGGTTTTGCAGCAACCGTCCACGAAGCTCTGAACGACACCACCATTCTGCACGAAGAGATCAGGAAGAGAAAATAAAATGAATGGGAAACAATTCAAAAGACAACAAACAGTCCAAACTAACATTTTCTATTGTTAATAAAACTTACATTTGTCTTTGGAGTGTATATTGTATAAACTAAGAACAGCCAGTTAAACATAGAAGCTTTAAACTAAATTAAACATGCTGGCCATCTATGGCATAGAATTTTGATTTCATCAAATATAACTGGGTATTTGAACCACAGTTTATTCTAACTGATCTGTGCATCCACAGAATGCAGACAAAAGAACAACACATATCACTGTAATTATTAGGTTTATAAATGTATGCAATAAATGGCTGCAGCTTAACCTGAATACACTCTGTGTCATTAAACGGCGGGCAAACCACCCCAGAAGCAAGTATCACTGCTCCCACTGGTGTTTCCATACAGTCGTAACGTGTGCAGTTCTCCACCCAGGAACTCCCTGCCTGAATGCAAAATCAAAATTAGTGCTGCTTTAAAAAGGGACCGTTGAGCGCTTGTCAATGTGGATGTGTTTTTTTTCTTACAGTGAAAAGCTCTGTTGTCCCGTTTTCATTGGTGAAAATACAGGACACATTTCTACAAGAGCCGCAGCACACCTGAGAGTCAGTGGATGGTACATACACCTGGTGCTAAAGGGATGAAGTAAACACAGGAGTGAAGAAAGAGTATACACTACAGAAAAGAATATAAGTGGATGAGATGTTACATAAAAACTACAGTTGAAAAGATCAAATTACCAAAATGCTTCTCACAATAACTACATATGTAATCCATTAAAATATATTAAATATATTGGATGCATACTGGTCCACATTTCTGGGAGCAGTTGACAGAGGTGATTTCCATGGCATAGAAGCCCGAGATTGGATCTCTCTGATGCAGACAGTGGACGGTGTAACACAGCTCCCTCTCAAAGTACTGAACCAGAGACTGGCCTGGGCTCAGCACCGTCACCCCTTGGAAAAGACACACCTCTGCCTTCTCTTCACACAAACAAAAACAGGGTAAATAAACATACTGTAGGTGACAAGTTTTTTCATGGTAAATATGTCAGTGTCCAGGAGCTTGGAAACGAAGGAGTATGAAGCAGCTGATAAATGATATCTGTTGTAACACTAGTGTCATCAGGTGTGTGTCTGTGTAGTTTCATGCATGGATTATACATACGGCATATATGCTGAGGACAGCCACAGGTGGTGCTGCTGTCTGGAACCTCGACCGGCGTCTCCCCCTGTGAGAAAATAGGGTGCTGACCTTGACTGAGTGTGTTCACTTTGTCTTTCTTCTAGCAAAGACCTGATTAGACAGAGATTTCTTCTTATGCAGCTTTTTACTGACTTACCACCTGACAGATGGGGAGAGAGCTGTCCTCA